CTATGCAAGGCACAGACTTCAGAATGATTCATAATCTACCTGAAATCAGGCATTTCAACTACCAAGCCTCAACAAGGCAATTATTTCAGGATCATGATATTCTCTGTCTGGTTACATCACACAACTATTCAAACAGTTGAAAACCCTTTCTCTTCGCTGTGACAGAACTTGAAGAATCTTGGACTGAAAGCTGAGGAATTTTTGTTCTCCCAGGCCAAATCACCTAATTTTGTCCCAGGTCAGATTTTGTTCACTGCATTTTTGGCTGAAAGGCTGCAGAACAAAATGACCTCCTGTCAGACAACCACATAAAAATGTACCAGTGCACTCCAAAATAAGAAACTACAAATCTGTACAACTGACTCACAATGAAATTTTGTTATTGGCCCAAGATTTTAATTTTTAGAGACAATATTTCCTGAAGTTCTGAATGTTTTACAGCAATTCCCCGGAGAAATGAAGGCCATATAACAAAAGGTACTTTAAAGCAGAAAAATTATTGAACTGCTTTATTGTACTTTGAAATTAATGTATGAATCCCTATTTGTAACTTATTGAGACCTCTGGGTAACTCTCCTTATCTACTTTATTTCTTTATAACTTGCTAGTCTTTATCAGAAGAACATCTTTCACAGAGAGGACTTGATCTTTTGATAGTTCTCTGTGAGTAATTTGTATTTTACAAGAGAACAAATACAAGTTTCTTGCATAATTGGCACAGTGTAGCCTCCTTGTGCTTCTTCTGGAAATGAATGGAAAGATGCATCTTTATCCTCCATGCTCATCATCATTAATTTGTCTTCCTTATGAAGTTGTTGGAAACTGCCCCATTTTGTGGAGTGCTTACAGTTTATTGGGAAGCTATTTGATTTCTGAAGTTTACATATCTTCCAGAAAACTTTGGGAGCCCATGACAAGATACAACTTCCATTTGTGAGCCACAGAATTCCTACTGGTGATAATTAAAAGCAGGCTGCTCCCCTAATGTGCTCACCAATGATGTACTCACAATTTTTCAAATGTCAGCAAGGAAGCTTAAAAGAAATAGCAGTAATAATTGTAAAAGTCTAGAATATTGCATAATTCCTCAGAGCTTCAAGAAGTTAAGAAACTGATATAATCGGCTGAATTTGAGGGATTGAGTGGTTGTATTTGATGAGGGCATTGCTTTTCTTACATTGTTTATCAGAATAAAAGCTTTCTTTATTAAATACAAATGACAGCTAGAAAGGGATAGAGATGAACTGCAAAAGTTGTTCCATTTTTCTACCTAGTCTGTTTATTAGTAGCTAAGACTACTGTTTTATGCCTTTTTCTTGACTCCCTAAGACATTAATAGAATTTCTGACCTTTTCAAATTTAACACATTCTTCAACTTTACCTGCATTTTTTACTCTCTGTTAGAGGGATGTCTTTGTGATAAATTCATACTAGATCCAGTAGAAAATTATTTCACTCTTATCATACCTTCTGTGAGCATGCAATATCCCTGTTTTGTCACTTCTGCTGAGAACAGGAATGCTGATATTCCCCTGTTTCAGAGTTCCTGGGAAGGCTGAGAGATTACACTGTCACTGGCTACATCTAGCCCTGTCACAACACAAACTATGCTTTTCAATATACAGAGCTCCACAGTGAAGAAGAAAAAAACTAATTGAAACATAAAATTAATAGTGCATATTAATATTTTCTGGCTTTGAGGTAGGAACCATCCCTTTTTCTTTCTCAATATAAAATTTTATTTGCATTTGGCCACTACACTTAGCCAGTTCTGTAACGTATGCTTCTTGATTTAAATATGATTAAAGCAAAATTTAAATATTAAAATGGCGTGAAATAACATTTTCCAATTTAATGCTGTAAATAAGCAGAATGACTTGCAGTAATGGGTTATTCATCTCTCTGATCTAGAACCTGTCTCCAAGACAGGTCTTGCAAATTACACACTGGAAGGTGCCAGCAGTGAATTTTATCTCCCCTGACCTCAGAAGAAACAGTTTATAAATAGAAGATGCTCCTTATATATTTTAAAAGGTGGACACAGAAAATTTTTCTCTTTTTTCTCATAAAAACAGATAAGAGTGATTTAAACTGTTTCTAGCAAAGGGTCTTAAAGCCTGTGCCTGTAGTCTTGCTGCACAGTGATCAAGGCTAAGGAGGAAGTAGACCTCCAAGAAAAATTATTTGCCTTGTCACTCAGCACTGACTGGTCTTGGCACATAATCCATTGAGAAAGGATTTTATTGAATACATATCTAAAATTTATAATTTAACATCCATACCAATGGCTACAGAACTGTTGGAACTGTTCCTTTCAACTGAATAAAATCTCACAATTTGTTGTGTTAAATTAACCTCTTTAATATCAATGAAGAAAAGAAGTTCAAGTTATAATGGGGCTTGCTATGATAATGGATGAGAACCTGAAGGAATTCCATTAGAGTAGGAAAATAGGGTTCTTGGTTTGGCTTACCAAATATTCTAAGCAATCTGTCTTCTCCTTCTAGCTGTCCTATTTAAATTGTTTGGATTTTTTTCCCAGTTTACCCTTTCTTCTGCATCATTAAAGCTGCATAATCTCAATAGAGAAGTGCAGTCAAGGAATAAAATTCTCAGATATTTACAGAGCCTAATATCCCTAATACTTTCTCCCATGACTTGGTTTGTATTTCTGTTTTTTGTGATCTTCACACACATCAGTTCCACTGTGACTTCAGATGGGGGCAGGGAAACACAAGAACTCACTTAGCAGGGAATTGTTTAAGGTACAGACATCGAAAATTTCCTGTCTATGTTTACAGCACTGAAGGCCCTGCTCAGCACAGAATTTTTTACTGGTACCAGGCCCTGCAGCAACTGGAAATGACCAAATATGTTTTGTGCTTAGGGAAAAGGAGGCTTCAAATTATGCTTTTCCAACACATGTTATGTGTGCACCTTGTACCTTCAGTTGTAGTGCATGCTGCAGCTCTTTTATGTGTGAAATTGCCTGATTTTGACAGAGCACTAGAAATCCAACAGTTTCTCTTGTAACCTTTTGTAACCCTCTAAACTATGCTAGTGCACCTATCCTTTAAGCACATATTATTGCTTTATTTAGCAATAATAAATAAATATATCTCTTGCCTCAAAATGAAATCATGTTCCCATTCACTTTAATTCTGTTGTGTCAGTGTCACTGTAATGTCAAGTTTTTGCAGTCTACAAATCAAAATATATTGAAGCATGTGATCAGTTTATCCATGTTTTTAAATGTAGTTACTATGAGATGAGTAAATGTACAATCTGCTTGCTGCTCTACTCAATTCTAGTGTGAAACAAGACAGTCATTAACAACTTAGATGCAAAACAACAAAAAATCAACACAAAATAAAATGTCTGGCATAAACACACAGCATTGTAGGTGGGGTCAAGTGAAAAGATTTTTAAAAAATACGACTAAGAATACAAAACACATTGCTCTTTTAGGATCTGAGTGTGGGTGATGCTGTAAGCGAGACCTACTTTCTCATAGTACTTGATCTCGTAGTCCAGAATTGCTCCATGGGGAAAGTCCGGCTCTTGCCAGGAGAGGGCAATGCTGTTTTGGGAAGCCCAGTCCTTCCTGACCATACCTATCAAGGTGGGTGCTGAAAGGGAAAAGGATAACTAAGGGTTAAAGACAAAGCACACGGTTTATCCTTCCAACTTCCTGTCTGAGGATACCAACCCGAGGCAACTTGGAGTGACCTCCAGACAGAAAAGCATGACAGATGGCAATTCTCAGGGAAACCATATAACCTGGAATTAATGTCTCAAGCACACGCTGGTAACTCCTCTGCTGAGGTGCAGAACAGCTTCTGGAAAATGGCTCTGTGCAAAAACACGAAAAGAAACTGGGCTGGGTGGGCTCTGCCCCAACCAGGCAGCACTGCTGGCTCCAGGGACACTGTGTCCAGAGCAGAATCACACTGCAGAGGCAGCAAATTCTGCATGCAGCTTAACCTTCATTAAATGTTATGATTCTAGCGTTTAGGATGCACATTCAATTTACTCTCTGCGGTAACATAAAGTGACACAGCTCAAAACAGATGCAATGAATCCCTTTTCTGGCAAGCCCTTTGTGAGAGGTCTGTGTGCACCAAGAGCCAGCTCCTGCAGGAGCCCCTGGAAGGGATTGGGGTACGAGCAAAGGGAGAAAAATCAGCTCCTGGAAAGGGCCCAACATGCATGGATGCACCTAGGAGCCAAATTATCTCACTCTGCGATTAACCAAATTTAAGAACCAGTTTTTTTGCCTTTTTGGAAAAGAAGGTGTGTGGCATTCACATCCTCTGAAAAATCCCTTTGCCCACAGTTTTTCTCCTGGGAAGCTGAGAAGCCTCCAAGAAAAAGGAAAATTATTATCTCATTTGCTTCTCCCGTGTTTTGCTCCTTTGGAATGTGTTTGGAGATTGTTTACCAATAGGTTATTGCTTCATTGGTTTCTGATGTGTTTTCACTCATTGGCCAATCATTGCCAAGCTGTGTCAGGACTCTGGAAAGAGTCACGAGTTTTCATTATTATCTTTTTAGCATTCTGTAAGCATCCTTTCTGTATTCTTTAGTATAGTTTAGTATTCTTTAATATAATATAGATCATAAAATAATAAATTAGCCTTGTGAGAACATCAAGTCAGATTCATCATTCCTTCCTTCATCAGTGCACCCCAGAAATACAATAAAGGTGCATGGTTATCTACGCAATGATTTCAAATGGTGCAAAGATTGTGTTCTAGAAAATAATCTTTGCTTGTTTTATTAATCTGGTCAAACATCTAAAAATATTCTCCAGACATTTATGTGGCTTTAATAGTATTGATGTGCAGCTTTCCCACATGTTACAGCAAACCCAGTCATGTTATTCAACAGTCCTGAACACAACTAAGATCAACAATCCAGCTACCATAAGTGGTTCACAGATTTCATTCTTTCTTTCCACTAAAATATATTAGTTTATTACACACCCTCCCCCATTCATCTCTCTTCTGAATCTTACTTAACTTCTTCTAAGTTTCCATGGAGTTGTCTCCTAAAAATAACACATTTTTATGATTTCTTTTGAATGAAAGGATCTCCCTAGGAAAATGAAAAGAGAATCTGCTCCTAGTCACAAAATTTCATGCCTAAATCTTCTTTCCTGTAAACATTTCAGGAGGTTTAAGAAATGAAGAAAATAAATTCTAGAATGCAAACAAACACAAGAAAACAAAACCGTGTGTTTGTCTTTGAAAAAAGAGAAACTCTACATAGAGATGTGTGTATTTTTTCTCTGTGATAATGCATTTATCTGAGAGAGAAAATTAACTTCCATCCAGCCTTACCTTTGGATAACTATTCTGTGGGATAATAGTTTTGTCCTCCCTGATGTGAAAAAAAATTCCCCAACTCAACACCTAACACCAGAAAAAAAACCCCTACCAAAGTGTAAGAGCTGACACAGGAAACTTCTACACCTTTGCCACTTTAACCACAGGTCTGATGCAAGGGTGTCAGAGAGAAAAAAAATACTCCTGCCATGCAGAATAAAGGATTACCCTGGTTTTCAGGAAGCCCTTAAACAGCATAATGTAAATAACTGAACAGAACAAAACACAAAGTAATAAATAAAACATTCACAGGATTTGAACCAAAATGTTATCCCTGGCCAGGTTAAACTACTCCCTTAGCCAAAATGATATTTTTACTCTTGAAACTGAGGGTGAAGTTGAGCTCTCACAATATCTCTCTGGGATACCATCAACTTCTCCAAGCAAGAAACAAAGTCAGGTCTGTTAAAAGGAAAGCTGGAGCTAGCAAACATGGATTTGTAATTGCTAAACACTGATCAAGGGCCTAGGAAGGCACTGCTCACATAAGCAGTTTTACTATTTGTCATTTTGAGTCATTCACTGGCACTGAGCTGTGATTTAGGGGTACCCCCTGTGTGCCTGCTTAGAGGTGATGAGCATCAGCACACTGCAGCTTCATCCCACAGCATCTGGGAGCTCGCTGTTCAGACAACCCAACCCAAAATTACTAAGACTGGTGACAGAAAACAACAGGTTAAGCTGTAGATAAAATTATATTCCTGGTTCTTTTAGGCTTATAAAATATACACTGCTGATATAACATGTCTTCAAATCATAGCCTCAACTTTACAAGCTTTTCTTATGTACTGCATGATGGGGATTTTTCCTTGTGTTCTAACTTCCAAATTTATACAAAAATTCATGCATGTTTTCAGCCTAAACTCAACACAGTAATTCTTCCATTTGTTGAAATGCATTTCAAAAGCACAGTCATGGTGCATTGGAAGGTCCTCTCAAAACTTCAGTATATGAAATAATCCCAGTTGTCTTTCTGGGAAAGAACTCAGTCTGAAATTAACAGAACAAAATTACTTTAGATCTCCCCTGAACCACCTGTGCTTGACCTGCACTTGAAACCAAGAAGTCCATACAGCAAGGCTCACATCACACCTGTGGCACTGTGCCAGCACTGAATCCTCTAAACCAAATGCAGAGATGTGAACATAAAGCTGTGAATATGAAAAAAAAAAAAAAAAACAAAAACAAAAAAAAAAAAAAAAAAAAAAACCACCCCCCCACAAAGTGTACTTTTTAATAAAAAGGCACAGAAGAACCACCATTGACCATTTCCTGTATGTGCAGAAGGATGTTCCTATTTTTGCCAGATAGGATTCCAGTCAGAAATTCATTGTAGGAAGAAGCAGACAAATCAAACCAAGTAATTAAAAGCACAGCTAGCTGNTGAAATGCAGTCTTAGAAAAAAGAGACAGAAAAAAAGGAACTTTTTTCAGTTTTACTCTCATACCTTTGTACCTCTCCAGGTATCTCTTGAATGCATTGAATATTGCAGGAAGAAACTCTAACAATATCTGAACACTCCTTCATTTAGACAAAGATATAAACTCATGTCTCAAGGCATAGTTATGATTTAATCTATGAACCCACCTTTATGGCTGTAAATCATCCATGTATTGCAAAAATCACTGTGCCAGCTCCAGCTTTCAAGAGTTTGGGCTCACAGATGATTTTTTTTAATTTTAAAGCTACTTTGTATTTTAAGAGGATCTAAAGGAAACATTCTGACTGATTTTAGAGATGTGGAGATGTAGACATTGTATTTAATTATAAATAAGTAAAATCACTTTCATTCAGACGACCATCATTTGGCAGGTATGCTTGTTATGTTTAGGTCATTGTTCACAAAACTTGCCATTTTTTTGCTAAAAATCTGTGAAATTTTTAAACCCAGAGTTTGACTCCTGAATGGGCGTTAAAGTATCTGAGGGAACTCCAACTCTATTATCATATGCAATGAAAACTTAGTGCACCTGAACTCCAAGGTGAACACACTGCAGGCAATTGATAAGAACAGACACAACAAAAATAAAATGCTTTGGGAGTACATTCTCTACTTTGTTAATTCAGACTAAACATGTTCAACTCCTTACCACTTCCTTTTGTGCAACTGATACATTATCTCTGATGAGAAAACATTTCCTTTTTACTGTATGTTCATCAAAATCATCTAAATGTTGCCTTAGCTGAAACTTTCTGCTCTATAAAACAGCTGCTTCTGATTTTTGACCCCACCTAAACACATAAGATTAACACTGATTCCTGCGGTTAACATTATTATTATTATTATTATTATTATTATTATTATTATTATTATTATTATTATTATTATTATTATTATTTTATTATTATTATTATTAGTCCTGTGTCAGTGCACAATTCTGAAAACTACTTTTCCTGAGGTTCAAAGGCTTTAAAGGATAGAAAAAACCAATTAATAAGTAATTTTATTAGCAACCAATCTTTGTTATCAATGAATTTAGGTTTCTTAGCTTTGTTTGAGGTATGGAACTAGTTGTGTGTGTTGTTTTCTAATAGTTTGCATACCTCCTATGCTTATTCCTAAAAAGCATTTGAAAACCACTTATACAAAACCATTAATACACTTTTTCTGCATTTGTGCAGCTCTTCTAGCAGTTACTGAAATTAGCAGTGTACATGGACTTTTCCTTGGAGAAAATGGTATTGGCTGCAGGCAAGAACACAAGATCAGCAGAGACTTAAGTATGGGGTTTTTTTTAATATCAAATCCACCAGGCTTGCTTAAACAGCATTATACTTCTCATTGAGAATTTCTGGTTCAGCAGGAACAGCAGCAATACCTCTATAGGCTACTTTATTATTAAACAGAAAAGTTCAGAAGTTGTTTCTAAATAATTGACAACAATGATTAGTAGACAAGCCAAACCAGGCATCTAATAGAGGTCTAGCTTAGAATTTCTTTGATAAACCCTTTGCTGCATGTAATTGATATTTAGATGCCAGATTTCTTTTTCTCCTATACAGTAATTACATTGGTGTCATTAATAATGGCTGCTGCAAGCTCCTTAGGTTCTTTCCAGCAAGGCAAAAATTATATCTGGTCAGAGAGTCTGGTAATTAGTCACTCTCTTTTCAACAGTTCAAAACCTATTTTTTTTTCTCTTTTCAGAATCTGAGGCTTTTTCATTTTTTCCCTTGGGAATCTGGGTTAATAACAGCAGAACAGAAAAACTGAGAAGCTTGTTTAACACCACTTACTATG